TATTGTAAAACATTATATTATTGTACATTATATTACATTATATTACATTATATTACATGTTTCGACTCTTGAATTGAGCCATTTTCAGATAAAACAAAATTCACAATCTTAAAATTCATTTCCATAGTCGTAGAAAAATTGTAATAAAAATTATTCAATTTATATAGCGATGTTGATGAATGCCTCACGGAGACTATGAATTACTTACAAGCGATTTACTGAGCGATTACTGATTGTTTAGAATTTCATGATATTCTAATTAAAGAAACATATTTGTTAACTAATAATAAATAAAAATAAAATTAAAACAATTTACTCAAATATTATCAATTTTATAAAAAAACTGTAAAAGACAAAAATCATTAATTTTCTTCTCATAGAACTATAAGAATTTTTTCGGAATTTTTTATCAACTTTTTAGTACTGTTTCTTATTTTTACCAACATGAGAAAATATGATATTTAAAAATTCTGAAAAAATTTTCAGAACTTTATGAGAAGAAAATAAATGATTTTTTGCCTCTTGCAGCTTTTCTATAAAAGTTGAGTGAAAAATTAGAGAGATCAAGATCAACATTTAGCAATTTTTAGTAATTAATGTCTTGTTAATTATTACAAAAATTGCAAAATTGTAGAGGAGTTTTCGACTCAGTAGTCGGCTCTATCTACACAAAAGCGATTGGCAAAAACTTTCGAGACATCCTCTGTGTGTGTGTGTGTGTGTGTGTGTATGTGTGTGTGTGTGTGTGTGTGTGTGTGTATGTGTGTGTGTTATATATACACAATATTAATTTTATATAATTCAGTAGAAAATATTTTGATTAATGATTTCAAAATAAACTAAACATAGAATTAAATATATTTACATTAAATATTTATGTATATTGAATTAAATGTTTATGTAAATGTAACAATATAATTTTTTTAATATTGACGAAATTCTATAAAGTTAAACATGATAAAAAATGCAGACATAACACAAGTGCATTGTTGTGTTCTCCAACACTATCATGGATAATAATTTTCGTTTGCATAAATGCGTTGCATAAAATGAGAATGTCCCAGAGCTGTAATATTAATTTCGCGATATTTATAGCAATCATGTACAATTATAAATCAAGTTCAATGTTTAACCTGAATTGTCCAAATTTTTGGATATTTAAAATTGTTATATTAAAATAAAACACAATCATAATTAAAGAATTATTTTTATTTTCTAATTTAAGAATTTCTTCCACGTAATTTTTAGCGACTGTATTTCATATTGCATAAAATAAAATTTATATCCCGTAAGATATGATGGTGCGTATTTAAGAAAAATTCGTGCCGATTTTGAAGGAAAATTGAAGATTTAAATTTTAGTATACATTTATTAAATTATATAGGTTAGTCGGCACGAACTTTCCGGA